CGGCATCTTCAGTGTGGGCACCCGGCTGTGACAGCTTGCGGCTTCACAGCCGGGTACCCACTGCGAGTAGCACTGCGCTTCATGAATGGTCCTGTAGTCTTCTGGAACCTGTCAAGTGTCCCAAAAGACTAGAGGGAGGGGGGAGGACACCTTCTGCTTCCGACCGCCTAGGCCAGGGGTAGGCAACCTGAGAGCCGCAGGACTACAAGTTCCATCATGCCTCTGCAAGTCATAGCTGTAACTGTCAGTTTTGTAATCTTTGCAATGCCTCATGGGAAATGTAGTTCCACAACAGCTAGAGAGCCAAAGGTTGCCTACACCTGGACTAGGCGATCGGAAGTGGGAGCGGGTACCTGTCAAATACAGGTACCCATTACCCCCCCCCCCCCCCCCGCCGCCGCCCATAGGTGCCAATACTTAATGGGGAGCGGGGGGAGCAGTCATTAAAGCAGAACGTCCCCTTTTGGGTGGAGCTCCGCTTTAAGATAGTGCCACAACCTTTTTTGAAGTCGCTGCGACTTCTGGCACATTGATAGGAATGGCTGTATTTGAAATAAATGCGTTTTTGACTTGTCATGTGACTGTATAGTATGTGTCGTAAGTTGCCTGACAAGTCCCAGCAGTGTGAACCAAGGCTTGGATACACTAAAACTGAAGTCAAACTCCAGCTAATACTTTATAATCAGTTACAGTAACAGTTGTGTTCCTATAACCCTAGGTTCACATCTGTGCGGGTGGTGCCTCTGCAGATCAGCACGAAAATCCGTGCAGCCGCACCACCCGCACAGAGAATTGCAGACCCGCGGGCGGGTGCCATTACTTCTAATGGCACGTCGCCCGCACTGGAAAACGCAACCGTACTGAGAACCTCGGCTGCGTTTTCCATAGTAGTGCAGGGACTTCTCCGCGTGTCACGGGCACGGGAGTCCATTCATATGAATGGGCTCTCGTGCCCGTGTAAAATGCGGCCCGCACGGCCGCATAGATGTGAACCTAAGGTAAAGGTTTTCCATAACTAAATAAAAGCGATCATAGCCAGCACCCCTGTCAGTGGTAAATGGTTTGTCTCAACTCTGTACCTGATACATTCTACTGGAGAGCTTGTTCTTTTGAAAAACAACAAACTTACTGGCAGGATTAGCAGATGACAATAGAATAAAGAAAGCCTAAAAAAGAAAACTAAACTAATGTAGCCATCCCACCTAAGAATTGGTAAGCTGCAATATAATAAATGTTTGCTTTTGGGTATAATACTGTTTTAATCTTCTATAACTTTTGAGACAAATAGAGGTTTCTTTTTGTGGTGCAAAAAGTGAAGGTGGATTATTACATACCGAAGGAAAATAAAACTCCCAACTTCTTTTTTATTTTTTTTTTTGGTGGTTTTTAACCACTTGCCTTCCGAAGGATTCCCCCCCCCCCCCCCCCCCTTCCTGACCAGGCCATTTTTCACGATATGGAGCTGCATTACTTTAAGGCTACGTTCACACTAGCCTTGTGTGCAGGCAGCAGAGAGGCGTTTGGGAAGCGTTTTTACCGCTTCCCAAACGCCTCTGCCAATTCTGCACATTACAGCACATGGTGCTGTTCTAACAGGAGCGTCGCGTTGCGTCGCGGCAAAACGGACGCCTCTGGTCGAGTCAGGAGGCTTTGAAGCCTCCTATTCTCGTCTATGGTGCCGCTCCGCAAACGCCCGGCCGGCGTTTGCGACGCGGTTGCGGGGTGTTTCGCGGAGCGGTAACACCACTCAAATGCATTATAGGCGTTTGTGGGGCGTTATTAACGCTCGGCAAACGCCTAGCAACTGCCGCTAAACCGCGCATGCGGCGTTTGCCGAGCGTTAAAAACGCTCCGCAAACACCGGACCAACGCTTGCCAAACGCTATAGGGGGCGTTGGCAAAACAGCCTAGTGTGAACGAGCCCTGACGATTGTGCGGTCATGGAACGCTGCACCCAAATTACATCTATGTCCTTTTTTCCCCACAAATAGAGCTTTCTTTTGGTGATATTTGATCGCCTGTGCGGTTATTTTTTTGCGCTATAAAACAAAAAAAGACTGATAATTTCGAGAAAAAAAAGCAATATTTTTTTTTTTATATTAAACATGTCCAGGAAAAAAAAAATTAACAAATCAAATTTCGTCATAAATTTAGGCCAAAATGTATTCTGCTCCGTGTCTTTGCTAAGAAAGATCCCAATACGTGTAAATTAATTGGTTTACGTGAAAGTTATAGTGTTGACAAATGGCAGCATATAATGGAATTTTTATTTTTTATACTAGTAATTATTATTACTATACAGTATTTATAAAGCGCCAATAGTTCGCTCAGCGCTGTACATTACAGAGGGGGACAGAACATGTGACAGAACAATACCAATACAATGCAAAACATGAGGGGATCGAGGGCCCTGCTCTTTCAAACTTACAATCTAGTAATGGCGGCAATCAGCGACTTACAGCGGGACTGTGGCGGGCATTCTGACACCGGGGCCACACCAAGTTTGGAGGTCTTTAGCTATTGACTCTGCAGACAGTTGGTGACTTTTGCGCACTGTGCGCTTCAGCATGCGCTGACCCCGCCCTGTCATGTGACGTGCCCTACCACTTGGTGGTTGAGTTGCTGTTGTTCCCAGTGGCTTCCACTTTGTTATAATCCCACTAACAGTTGAGCGTGGAATATTTAGTAGCCAGGAAATGTCACGGATGGACTTATTGCCCAGGTGGCCACCTATCATGGGACCACGCTTGGAGTCACTGAGCTCCTGAGAGCGACCCATTCTTTCACAAATGTTTGTAGAAGCCGTCTGCATGCCTAGGGGCTTGATTGTATACACCTGTGTCCATGGAGGGGATTGGAACACCTGAATCACATGATTTGGAGGGGATTGGAACACCTGAATCACATGATTTGGAGGGGATTGGAACACCTGAATCACATGATTTGGAGGGGATTGGAACACCTGAGGGGATCACTGATTTGGAGGGGATTGGAACACCTGAATCACATGATTTGGAGGGGATTGGAACACCTGAATCACGATTTGGAGGGGATTGGAACACCACCTGAATCACATGATTTGGAGGGGATTGGAACACCTGAATCACGATTTGGAGGGGATTGGATCACCTGAATCACGATTTGGAGGGGATTGGAACACCTGAATCACATGATTTGGAGGGGATTGGAACACCTGAATCACGATTTGGAGGGGATTGGAACACCTGAATCACGATTTGGAGGGGATTGGAACACCTGAATCACGATTTGGAGGGGATTGGATCACCTGAATCACATGATTTGGAGGGCGGGCACAATACTGTTTGTAATATAGTGTATGTGAATTGGATGTATTTTGAACCACATCTGATTCGCATGACGTGAACCTGCAGCCTCTTCTATGGCACCGATTTACATGTGTGCCGCAGTGCAATTTAAAAAACAAAAAAGAGTCCAGTACGATTTCCAGGCTGGTTCAGGTGCCATTTCCAATGTCATACACTTTACAATTCGTATTGGAATTGCACGTGAACTGCTGAACAAAGCCGCACCAGACAGGGCTACAAGCGCGCTGTCAAAACCGGCCAGAGCATACATGAACCCGGGCTTATAAAGCCCCAGATAGCATTTTAAAAACCAACAGGGGTTCTAATCCGCACCCACTCCATAGAAAACTACCACAACAAGTAACATTTGCTTTGGCTGTACATTGAGAAAAGAAAAAGGTTCTCCCGCTCTACCTTGTCTATTGATCCACAATGGGGTTGAGTTCCAGTATTTATTGAGTCCAAAAGCTTATATCACAAGGTCAGCCGACGCGTTTCGCCCGAGTGCAGCCTTCATCATAGCTGACCCCTATAAACAAACATCCAATTACTCCCCGCCCCCAGGGGAGGGGTCATACCTACAACACCAAACACTGGTGTGACCTACAGACACAATTTGACATTCTGCTATCCTAGACGAGGTAAAAACAAAAATCGACGTCCCGCGTACAAACCGAGAGGAAACAATGTAACAAAAATCACAAAATAAAATGATACATCAGAATCAATGTGGCACACATTTCAGTTCAGCACTGAGTACAGACAGAGACATGAGGAATGCTGGGACTTGTAGTACAGGACACGGGGGAATGCTGGGACTTGTAGTACAGGACACGGGGGAATGCTGGGACTTGTAGTACAGGACACGGGGGAATGCTGGGACTTGTAGTACAGGGACACGGGGGAATGCTGGGACTTGTAGTACAGGGACACGGGGGAATGCTGGGACTTGTAGTACAGGGACACGGGGGAATGCTGGGACTTGTAGCACAGGACATAGACGAAATCCAGGGATTGTAGTACAGGGCGCGGGGGGATGCTGGGACCTGTAGGACAGGGACACGGGGGAATGCTGGGACCTGTAGGACAGGGACACGGGGGAATGCTGGGACTTGTAGCACAGGACATAGACGAAATCCAGGGATTGTAGTACAGGGCGCGGGGGGATGCTGGGACCTGTAGGACAGGGACACGGGGGAATGCTGGGACCTGTAGGACAGGGACACGGGGGAATGCTGGGACTTGTAGGACAGGGACACGGGGGAATGCTGGGACTTTTAGGACAGGACACGGGGGAATGCTGGGACTTTTAGGACAGGACACGGGGGAATGCTGGGACTTGTAGGACAGGGACACGGGGGAATGCTGGGACTTGTAGGACAGGGACACGGGGGAATGCTGGGACTTGTAGGACAGGGACACGGGGGAATGCTGGGACTTTTAGGACAGGGACACGGGGGAATGCTGGGACTTTAGGACAGGACACGGGGGAATGCTGGGACTTTAGGACAGGACACGGGGAAATGCTGGGACCTGTAGTGCAGGACACGGGGGAATGCTGGGACCTATAGTGCAGGACACGGGGGAATGCTGGGACCTGTAGTGCAGGACACGGGGGAATGCTGGGACTTGTAGTACAGGGACACAGGGGAATGCTGGGACTTGTAGTGTTACCTGAGTACGGGTACAGAGACACGGCCCAGCGTACAGTCAAAGCCAGCAGCACACATACAGCTGTCACAACCCCCTCCATGTCTTCCACCTCAGCTCTCCGCTTCACGTCATCAGACGGCGCCTCCATTACGTCACCGAACTGCCGGGACGCCGCGTCTCTGTTGCCTCGGAAACGAGGGGGTGGGGGTCTTTTTCTCCAAAACATTTTCATATGAATGATATGCTGTGTTTTCTCCCCGTATTGTCTAAGAGAAGTGTGAAATATAAAACACCGGCCGGGTTATAGTACACGGTGCTGCGGGGAGGTTTGCCCTCACCCAATATGGTGCCTGCCGACATCCATCTGCTCTGTTCTCGGGTTTTGCCCTCACTAAAAATGGCGCCTTGACACAATGAAACCTGTAGTAAAGCTGGCTTTATTGCAAATTTATCAAAGAAAATCAATAAACAAAATAATGTCACTATTTAGGACGCACATTACCAGAGTTCGGGCTCCTTTACGTTTGCGTTACTCTCTGAAGAACAATCCATGGCGGATCACCTTTCAGACGGGTGACTGGAAGGCGATATGTCGCCCTGGGTTAACCCTGTAAATCCTGCACCACCGCACTGCAGTCTGGGGATGTGGCCCTATGCATTTGAATAGGTTTGTGCCCACCAGACTTAACTTCCTGCAGCATGTGCATACCGCCTATTTTTGGTTGGGGAGGGTGATAAAGCCGCAGTTCAACCACCTGTTTTAACGCCCTCCCTTCCACCCGGGCCACAAGTGTAAACTTATACATTCAGAGAGACAACACCCCATTTTAAGAATAATATATGTGGAATATTTCATGTCTGCTGGAGCCGATAATACGAGGGACGTTTAATTTTCCAGATATAATAAAGGATGCTAGCGGGGCGGTACTACACGTAGTAATAGGTGGCAAATGTGTCCTATTACCGATAGACGGCACACATGTCGCGGGCCAGTCCAGAGACCATTAACCAAGATGGCAGACACCAGTGTTAGTGCGTCCATAGAACAGCGTGTGGTGATGACGTTTCTTGTGAACGAAGGCATAAAACTCGCGGATATCTATAGAAGACTTCAAGCACAGTACAGTGATGAGACGCTCAGCCGCAGGAAGACATTTGAATGGTGTAAATGTTTCAAAGATGGCGGTTCGTCTGTTAGTGACCATCCCGGCCGTGGTGGTTCCCAGCAGTGAACATTCAGCGTATGGAACGCCTGATCCTGGATAATCGACGCATAACCTGTCCTGAAATTGCACAAGAGATAAATCTTTCTGTGCGAACGGTGAACAGAATGATGATGAAGTGAAGTCGGCTGTCTTAGGATGGTTCAGATCTATTGACAAATCTTTCTATGCCGAAGCTTTCCAGGCATCAGTTAAATGCTGGGATAAGTGTATAAATGTAGCAGGGGAGAATGTCAAAAAATAAATGCAGTTTCCACTCCTTGAAATTTGGCATGCTGGCTGCTTCCACAAACATTGGTGAAAGAATGGGTCGCTCTCAAGAGCTCAGTGACTCCAAGCGTGGTCCCTTGATAGGTTGCCACCTGTGCAATAAGTCCATCCGTGACATTTCCTGGCTACTAAATATTCCACGCTCAACTGTTAGTGGGATTATAACAAAATGGAAGCAACTGGGAACAACAGCAATTCAGCCACCAAGTGGTAGGCCACATCACATGACAGAGCGGGGTCAGCGCATGCTGAAGCGCACAGTGCACAGAAGTTGCCAACTGTCTGCAGAGTCAATAGCTAAAGACCTCCAAACTTGGTGTGGCCTTAAGATGAGCCCAACAACAGTGTGTAGAGAGCTTCTTGGAATGGGTTTCCATGGCCGAGCAGCTGAATCCAAGCCTTACATCACCAAGTGCAATGCAAAGCGTCGGATGCCGTGGTGTGAAGTGTGCCGCCACTGGACTCTAGAGCAGCAGAGACGTGTTCTCCGGAGTGACCAATCACGCTTCTCTGTCTGGCAATTGAATGGACATGTCTGGGTTTGGCGGTTGCCTGGAGAACAGTACTTGCCTGACTGCATTGTGCCAAGTGTGAAGTTTGGTGAAGGGGTATGGCGTGGGGTTGCTTTTCAGGGGTTGGGTTTGGCCCTTTAGTTCCTTTAGTTCCAGTGAAGGGAACTCTTAAGGCGTCAGCATACCAAGACATTTTGGACAATTTCATGCTCCCAACTTTGTGGGAAGAGTTTGGGGATGGCCCCTTCCTGTTTCAACATGACTGCGCACCAGTGCACAAGGCAAGGTCTATAAAGACATGGAGGAGCCAGTTGCGGTGGAGGAACTTGACTGGCCTGCACAGAGTCCTGACCTCAACCCCATACAACACCTTTGGGATGAATTAGAGCGGAGACTGCGAGCCAGACCTTCTCATCCAACATCAGTGCCTGACCTCACAAATGTGCTTCTGGAAGAATGGTCAAACCTTGTGGACAGCCTTCCCAGAAGAGCTGAAGCTGTTATAGATGCAAAGGGTGAGCCAACTCAATATTGAATCCTACAGACTAATGCCATTAAAGTTCATATGCGTGTAAAGGCAGGCGTCCCAATACTTTTGGCAATGTAGTGTATATTTATAAAAGTAAAAACAGGTGCTCAATTTTTATTCAAAACTAATAACTGTTTCTGAGTAGTTTTGGATGGTCTGGTGGTCACCATGGTACAGTTTTACAGGAACCTTTAAAAACACATTTTGCTGACATACATTTTTTTGTGGTTAAATATCCTTTTATTTAGAGTTTAAGGTATTTCAGTGCAAAGGCATGAAATAACATTAGAAAACTATAAACAGAAACATGCCATGTTTTATTCCTTCCAAGCAGATAAAAGCGGCAGACAAAGCATATGAAAAAAACAGATGAGACAGCATGTAATGAGTAGAATAAGTTGCCAGCTTCGCCATGCATACAACAATCAATACTGAGCCAATAACACAATTACGGCATTAAGGTACAACAGGGAAAATGGAAGGGAGGGAGAAAGGGTGAGATAGAGAAAAAAAAGAGGGTATAAATAAGCAATCCAAGAAACACCCAAAAAGTCACCATAAGTGAAAGAAATAAACAAGGCCAATTACTGGGAGATTAGAGCTCGAAAAGTGACACTATAATCCCTCTAACATGTCCAAATGATGCTGACTTTTTTTGGGGTTGGGACTGTCTTCTGTAACCAATATCTCTATTGCTGCTATCTCATTATGTATTTGGGCCCATTCCAGTAGACTGGGTGGGGTGGGGGGTGGAATTTCCAGTGTCATGAAATAGCAGTTTGAGCTGCCAGTAGGCATTGCCGCAGGATGCCCTTTTTGACTGTGGAGATAGACCCAGAGATTATCAACACCAGAGCCACTGCTGGAGATTCCTGTATGTTAGAAATACTCATCGAGTTGCAAGAAGTAAACATTTTTTTGCGAGATTAAACTGCAACCGCACCAAATATGTAATGGGGAGCCTACCTCCTCCCTACACCTCCGACACTCATTTGGAAAGGAAGGGTACATCTGATGGATGTCTACTGGGCTCCGGTACCACAGGAACAATTTTATAGCTTTTTTCTTGTAAGTAGGAGGACATAGACAGCTTATGAGTAAAAATGAACATTTATTTCAATCCTCTGAAGAAAAAGGAGAAGGGAAGATTCCAACATGCATTATTTTGTATTTTGCATGATGAGACACATTGGTGGCCCTCTAGACAATAACAGTTTTTATCAAACCACACTTTATTTTGAGAAACTTTTTGATATTCCTGTTCTATGATCTCTTTTCTATTAATTAACCTGTCATCCAACAAAGAATGCCAATAGAACATGTACCAGTAAAGAAGACAGTAAATATTTACCTCTCTGGTTGCCCTTACCACTGAACAAGAGTAATTCCCAGCTGAATCCTTCTCCTAAGTTTGACACTTCTAGTATCCCCTCTACAGGGCAAAAAGGGGTAGGGGTAGGCAAGAGGAACCATAAAGAGCAGCTCTTGTCAAGAAAGTGTTGGTCCCTGAAGAAGACTTCAGTGGCCAGTGATTTCTCTTCAAGGGAGTGACAGGGGCAGCAGAAGAGGCACGTTTTCGATTTCTTTTTTTACATGGCTGTCAACGGAACAGGTAGTAACAGAAAGTCTCCCCATTTTGTGTAACAGGCAGAAAAACCTCAAGTATGTCACCGTGACAAAGGGGTCTTCAAAAACATCATTGGACTTTTCTGTGCCAAGCAATGTTAATATGAACTTCAAATGTTGATGTGCTGACCATTCTCTGCTTGGCTGGAAGGCAGTCATGCCACAAGGCACCTGTAGTGGAAAGGTTCTTGTCTGTAGAGCTGCTGAGGAACAGTCCCTATCAGGGGCGGACTGACCATTTGGAAACTCGGTCACTGCCCGAGGGCCCAGGGTTAGTAGGGGAGATGTTCCTGGCACCTTTTTCATAGGCTTTTTTGAATTTGGGCAAGGACACAGGGGCCCCATGATCCCCTATTGCCCGGGGGCCCCATGAGTTGTCAGTCCACCCCTGCTTGTAATACAAGCCTTTTTGCTACATACTGTATAGTATGAGTTTGTGAGTTATACCCTGTCTCTACACTTTTGATCTAGACCAGCAGTTTGTTTTAAAAACCATTAAAAAAATATTGCTTGTTTGTTCTCAAATTTCAAAAGCCTCTTAATAATTTTTCTATTTGGCTTGAATATTGTAGCTTTATAAACACAAACAGAAATAATAGGGCAAATGTCAGCAAACTCCCATCCCATCATGCTTATCATTGCAGCCTGGGTGTGATAACCAGAAGGGATCAAATTATGGTCAGAGCTGAGAAGCTCTGCAGACCAGCCCTGTGGAATTTCCCCCTGCTTTAGAACTTTGGAGAAAGGTCTAGAAGCAGTGGTTGGATCTGAGGAGTGGCTAGTCTGTACTCTTGGAGGATCCTGACCAATCCCCAACAGCAGGCTTGGCAAGGGGCCAGGACAACCTTTCAGAGTAACAGAAACTACTCAGCAGGAGGGAGGAGAGTTTGGGTGGAAGAAGAAGATGTGAGGCTGAGAAGCAGCAGCCTGGGAGGGGGCC